GGCTCTAGGCCCACCTAAAAGCTCCCCCCACACCCAATGGGCACCGCGGACCCCGGGCCCCGCCCACCTCTCCCAGGCTGGCGCCAACAGGCCCGACGTGAGGGGGCGGGGCAGCCGTCACTCGAGGCCCTCCCCACCGACTGCCAATCACGAGAACTCACCTGGACGAGCTCTTCCAGCCTTTCCGGGTTGGCCCAGCGGGGCCTGTCACCTGCAGTCGCTCTAGGGCAAAGGGCCCAGGACTTCCGCAGGGGATTCCACACCTGCCTCCTGGGCCCCGCTCTTCGAGAGACCCCAGGGACGTGAGCGGGGATTGTTTTACCCCTTCATTTATAAAGAGCTCTGATGAGACAGAAATTGACTCAGACTCCCCCAGGGACACAAAACAGCTTAAAGGCACAGACTCAGAAGGCTGGCAACCCTATCCCATTGCTGTTTCCAGGACTTTAAAGTAGCTTGTGAGAGACCTAATTATTAAGAATAATAACCAGAGGCCAGCAGGTGGTGGGGTGGTTAAAGTTGCTGTACTTTTCACATGGGAGACTGCAGTTCCTGTCCCAGAGCAGCAGCCTCGCTATCTCACTTTTGTCTTGCTCTCTGTCTCTCTCTGGTGAGTGCATGTGCCCTATCACAAATTTTAAAATAATAATGAGGGGCCGGCAGGTGGCCTGGTGGTTGGGGGCTCAGTCCCTGGACCTGGCAGCTTGCTTTCTCACTTTCTTTCCTTCTGTCCCTCTGGTCAAATTAAAAAATAAGCAATATTAAATAAAATGATTATTTTTTAAATAATTATTTTAAAAAAAAACCAATATTTATGGAGTCATGTACTGCCCTAAGTTCTACCTACTTCCTTTAGTCATTTTTATCAATGGCTTTATTGAGATTTAATACCACATAAATTCACCTGTTTAAAGTGTACAATTCAATGGCTTTTGGCATACTTACAGAATCGTGCCATTTCCATAATCTCATTTTAGAATGCTAAATGTATAGATTTCTACACATTAAGCTGTCACTTCCCATCCTCTCCCCCTCAATCCCCAACCACTAACCTACTTTCTGTCTCTATAATTTGCATTTTTTAAACAATTTATATAGTCATATAATATGTGGCCTTTTGTGTCTGTCTTCTTTTTCTTTAATGGTTTCAAGGTTCATCCACATTGAAGCATGTATCAGTGCTTCATTTCTTTTTATAGCTGAATAATATTCCAATATATGGATATACCACATTTGTTTTCCCATTCATTAGTGATGGTCATTTTGTTCTATTTTTTGACTATCACAAATAATGCTGCTTTGACCTGATATTAAAATACAAGTTTTTGGACGCCAGCAGGTGGTATGGTGGTTAAAAGCACTGGACTCCCACATAGCCGACTGAAGTCTCAGACCTGGTGCTTACTTTCTCACTTTTCCTCTCTTTCTCTCTGTCTCTTTTTGGTCAAATTGGAAAATAACAATAATAAAGGTAAATAAAATAATTCTTTGAAAAAATAGATACAAGTTTTTGTATGGACATACATTTCATTTCTCTTGGGTCCCTGGAAGTAAAATTTCTGGATCATAAGGTAACTCTTGAACTTTTTGAGGAACTGGCAAACTGTTTTCCAAATTGGTTACAGCATCTCTTATCTACCAATGAGCCAATGAGACATATACTGTTTGTTTGTTTTTCACTGTTAGAGGTCATGGGTACTTACCAGAGAGAAGGGTAAGCACCCCCAGTAGAGCATGGCCACACCACAGTCTCTTCTCTATTTCTCCATCTTATTGGGATTTGGGGTACACACACACACATGCCCGACATGGTTTCCTTTTTTTTTAGAGAGGTTTATGCCATAGGGTGTGTATGCTCACTAGACAGACAGAGACAGAGAGACAGAAAACAGAAATCACCCCCCAGGGGGCATGGCCACCCCACAATCCCTTCTCCTCCATTCTCGTCTTGGGATCTTGGGCGCACACACACATGCGCGCCTGGCGTGAGTTTAAGCCACCGGGTCTGAGACTTGAACAGTGGTCAACTACATGGGAGTCCAGTGACATAGCCATTAAGCCAACTGCTGGTCCCACCTGACTTGTTTTTCAAGCCCCTGGGGCTGAGATTCAAACTGTGCTCAGCCATGTGAGATCCAGCTCTCTTAACCAGCTCTCTGGCTATGGGCCAGCATAAGGCATATACTATTATTAGTCCCATTTTACAGTTAAGGGAATTGAGGTCTTGGGAAGTAAAGTTAGTTGGCTAAGGTCCCAGAACGAACTTATGGCAGAGCCAGAATTTTCTTTCCTTTTTTTTTTTTTTTTTTTTTTTTTTTTAAATTCATTTCTTTCCTGAGAGACAAAAAAAGCACCCTCAGCAGGTCTCATGCCATTTTCCACTCACTCCTCCCACTCCTCCTCTGTGCCTTTCCCAGCCAGCCAAAATCACGGGCATGTATGTTCAGCACATGTAAGTCAATCTAGAAACTGAACCAGCCTTCTGCGTAACTTCTAGCATTGCAGAGCAGTACCACCGCCACGTGACCGCAGCTAGGCCACAGCCAGCATTTGAAGCAACCGAAATTGAGAGGAATGAGCCAAATTTAACTACATGGACTCAGCTCTCAGCAGCCAACTGCTGACCCTGGATTGTCAACTATTAGAGCTATAATGATAGTTCCTCACTTTGCCTATAAATCACAACCATGTTGTCATCTGACACTCTTCTGCAGACCCATGGAGACAGGCCCAGAGAGAGGAAGGGACTGAGCCACAGGGCCCAGGATAGGGGCCCACTAAGGGTCCCAAGGCAAGCCCCAAGGAGATGGGGTCTTAAACCTTAAATGATTTCTACAGCTGTTCCTGATGCCACGTGGCTGGCCCAGACATTCTTGAAGATTTCACTGTGCATTGGTCACATTCCACGGGTTTCTGGTGTCCCGTAAACAGGGCAACGGCAGACATGGGAGTGGGCACAAGCTATTTTGGTCTTAAACCCTCAGTTTAGTAGGTATCCCTCCTCTCCAGTGGCTCAAGAGTAGTGTGCCCTTAGTCCCAGCTCCCAGGAGGGGCAGAGTGGGCCTCACATGGGAGTGTGAGCCTATCTTAAACAAGGAAGAGGAGTCCGACATGCCCGGAGCAGGTGTGAAGCACAAAGCAAGGTGTCCACCACCCTCTGACTGTCATTCTGACCCAGGGGTCACATCCCACACACATTCTTGCTCTTTAAAGGCACATGGGAAACTTCCAAGTTTATGGAAAAGTTAAATTAAATGACAAGTTTATTTCAGTGCAGAAATTCAGGGCTGGGGGGTGGCATGGACCTGGCCACTTGCTTTCTCGCTTTCCCTCTCTCTCTCTCTCTCTAGTCAAATTAAAAACTAATAACAAATGGAATTAATAAGTAAAAAAAAACCTTTAAATCTACATTTAGCTCTTTTCATAATACACTTTCCCGTGAACTCTTTGAAGACCCCTTGTATACAGAGATTTACCCCAAGAGTATTGGGGTAGGGCTAGGGGATAGGTTAGAGGCACCTGGGTGTCTGGCTTTGGGGGACTGGATAGATGGTACTCCACTTAAGGCCTCGATGCCCCAGCTTCTAATTTCCTACATCAGACCACACAGGATTCAAATTTCTGCTCTCTGAATTTCAGCTTAATGTTTCTCTCTGAGCCTGTTTCCTCACCTGTAAACTGGAAATACTGAAAACAACAGCTCCCTTGGAGTTGTTCTGAGTCTTTAGGATAATAGGTGCTAAGTATCTGGCACATGGAGATGGCCAACCCAAGAGTGGTGGCATTTGTAGTTTGCAAAACACCTGCAATTTGTTTTTCTTTTTTAAAGAGTCTTTTGCTATAGGGTGTGTGTGCTCACCAGAAAGACACAGAGAGACAGAGAGATAGAAAGCGAAAAATCGTCCTCCAGGGGGAATGGCCATGCTGCAATCCCTTCTCCTCCATTCTCCTCTCGGGATCTTGGGCACGCACGCACGTGCGTACAGTATGAGTTTAAGCCACCATGTCTGAGACTCGAACCACTGTCGACTACATGGGAGTGCAGTGACATAGCCATTATCCCAACTGCTAGTCCCAACCTGCAAATGTTTTATCTGCAGCGTTTCCCATCACAGCCTGTGACTGCAGCAGGGGTGTCACCCCAGTTGAATTGATGGCACACAGCTTAGGCAGCTTTGCTTCAAGGCCCTGCCCCTTGAACAACTGGGTGTTCACGTGCAAAACTACTTAACTATTCAGAACCTCATTTTCCTCTTTGGAAGAACAGAAATGCCAATAACTCCTTGGCGAGGAGCCAGTGCGCTGTGCCCCTGAAGCCACCAGGATGGTAAATACTCAGTAACTGTTTCATTACTTCCTCCAAGCTCTGGAGCTCTTTAACTTATCGATACACCCGTAATGGGCCAGACATCACTCTAGTGAACAGAGCCGAAGTCCTGGCCTGGTAGTTTACAGTCCAGTGGAGGAGGGAGAAGATGAACAAGCACAGAACGTTTGTCAGGCCGAGTGAAGGAAGTAAAACGGGAAGGCACAAAGAATCCGAGGCGAAAGTCGGGGTATGGAGTGAGGCAGAAATGAAGGAGCCCCTGTGTGGGGCAGGGCAGCAGGTGCAAAACTTCCCCTTGAAAGAGAAGCCAGCTCAGAAGACAATGGTTAGGTTGGAGTGAGAATG